GAATCTAATATTAGTTTTGAACCAAATCGTAGCTTTCTAACAAAACATCCCCTGAAAAAGGTCTCAAACTGCAGAAAAACTGCATCGAATAGGGTAGATATGTCTCAGATGATAAAAAACAAAGTGAATATACCTTTTCACTTTTTGAAGTACACATAACACTCGGATTTAAATCCGATGTTTTCGCACTTTTTTATTTTAGAGTTATTTTTTCAATCTACCATTCTATCTAAAAATACTTCATTGTTTCCTTTTTCTGAATGTAACGAAAGTTTTTAGAAACAAGTTAAAGTGCCGAATTTTGTTTTATAGGTTTTTTAAAAGAAAATATAAATTATTCCATCAACAAGTTAAATGAATGTGCGGATTCAAATTTTCAGTAAAGAAAGAAATTTTTGTAAAAATTTTGACAACATATATACGAAAATTAAATATATCGCTTATCAAGATAAATTCTACAATTATATCATAATGGTATGTACTTGAATATTGACAAAGAGAAAATTAATTGTACAACAAATATACCTAGCACAAATAAGTAAAACAAGTTTATCTTGATAAGAAGTTTCTTGAGGAAGTTACAGATAGCGTTATGCGGAAGTAAGAACTCATTTAAAATGTTTTTATATGACCGTTAGCGATGAAGTTTTTATTTGAAATTCTTGGAGATGAATGTTAGTTACTTTATTTTCAATAAAAATTCAAACATTTTTAAAACTTACTCATTCGACAAAAAAGACTCTTAAACATATAGTTTTCTTATTTTTTCCAAACACAATCTATGGTCAATATTGATAAAAGCTATCTTTCCATTTTAATATCCCTCGTGTTCTGTTTCTTTATAACTCATAATATGTTCTGTTCTTATAACAATCAAAGTAATGCATCTTGAAAATCTTGATTTATTTCTCTCTTCTTTTTATGTCTCTTATCTCAAATCGATGAATATAAAATGACATAATAAATTTTTATTGAAAAATTAATTTCATCAAATAAAGGTTTTACAAATAGGATATAAGTGTTTTGAATGCATTTCTTAGTGAGACCGAAGAAAAAACAGATACTACACCTACTCAAGTCGATCCTATTAAAGAACTATCATAGAAAAGAAAAATTTTTTTATTGAATTGTTGATCGACTTATGATAAGAAATAAGTTGCATCCAACGTCGACTTTCTTACGAACAACAAGTGAGTATCGAGATCTTATACATATGTTTTATATTTGAAGAGAAGGCAGCTTCATTTCTCTCATCGCACATGATTTGAGGGGTGTGCGTATGGGTAGAGATGTAGCCTACATGACTAATTAAACACTCACACTCTATTACAAATTAATACATGGTATTGAAAAAATAAAGACAATATCTTGTTCAATTAATTTCGAATGTTTTGTTTCATATATTAATTTGAATATTTTATATTTATACTAGAAAATATATTCGTTTGAATGGATTGTAACTAGTTTTTGAAGTAAAATATCTAGTATATTCTTTTTATTTTTGGTTGTAACTTCTTTACATAAAATCCGACGATTAACGTATTTGTGTGTGCATTCTCCAGTTAATACTGATGAATCATGACTAGTCATTACACACGCTCATGTCGAAAAGTACGGTATAAAATCGTTTAATCATGTAACAAACGCTCAATTACAGAAGAGTATAAGTATTACTAGGTTGATACCTTCTGCATTTTTAGAAAAATTACGATGTTAAAAGATGTCTATAAATCTGTGCATCTTTCTTCTTTTATTGTTATTAAATAATCACGTCTTATAATGAATGATAGAATTAAAACAAATAGCTATTATCAATTATGAATTAATTTACAAGAGTACTATTTATATTGAAAAATCAATACATAAGAGAGATGTACTGAAGATTTCTAGAAAATACATTTGATTATTTATCTCATATCTATATATATTGATAACATGTTAAAATCAAATTGCTCTAAAGTCACAAGCAAAATCTAAGTATGTATTCTGAAAGTTTACGAACAATTTCTAATTAGATGTAGCATTTTGACTTCACTTTAGAAATAAATTACACAGATAAACTAGACTTTTTTTTATCAAGATTTGCATTTTATTGTTAGTATTACCCACTTGTCAAAATTTTATGAGAAAACTTTTCGAGAGTGAAGAATTCAAATTTTATTCTTTTGTAATGTATTTAAATAGAATAATACTCGAACATTTTACATTGAAAGTTAAAATATTCATATATAAATTCTTTTATTTTTGAATTGATATTTCAATACCATTATTTAAATCTTCTCGATATTCAATTTTTCCTTTATAAAATGTTAATGTATAATTTGGATTATTTCGAACATATTCTAAATAATCTGGTGCATTAGGCGTAATAACATTATTTGCAATAATCATTGTTCCGGGTTGGATTAATCCAGCATCTTCAAGCATTTTAAAATCACGCGAATAAACATCTTCGAAATAATCGATAAATATAAAATCGAATGAATCAATATTGAAATTCTTACTTAAATAAGAAATAACACTATTTGAATAATCATTAATAATATTTATGCGATTCGTGACACCAGCAAGTTCAAAAATATTATAGGCTATTTCAGATAATTGTTCATTAGCTTCAATTGTAATGAAAAGCACATTATCTCGTTATTAACTATAACCAAGGAAAGTGCCTAAAGATAAAACGTATTAATAGATTTTGTATTTATTTCAAGTAAAAATA